AGACTCACCAAAATTCCAATTGAATTCAGTCATATTTCTTAACGTAACAATAAATAATAACACACAGTAATGGTATCTTTCTCTCACATCTACAAACAATTTTTTAAAAAATTACAAATTAAATTTGGTTACAAAAAATAACACAATAACATTTTTAAATGTGAAAGGTTCACTGAATTTAATACAGTGGTCCCCCGCAAAGTCAGGATCCAACTAAAAACTTATCAGGGATCATGAGGGGCCTTGTGAAATGTGCATGGGGGTTCATGCATTGAAAATAGATAAAAAGGTACATTTCATCGACAACTGCTTGCATTATTTGAGTTTAATCGCAAAATTGCCATTTATGATTTATAATTTGTACTAGAAAGTACCAGGATGTGCAACTTTTTAGGGGTCAACTCCTACATGAGGGAAAATGAACAAAAGTTGAGCTAAAACCACATAAAAGCATATAATGGATACAATTACGATCATTTTCCAGCAGGTAAGCTGTCTTTCCCTTCATCTACATATAGAGCAAGGTATAACTTCAAAATTTTGTGAAAATACACATATACATTGTATCAAAACACAAGACTATCTTATCGTCATGACATACTTACCGCTGCAAGACATCTGGTACAAATTATTCTTTCCAAACTTTTTAAAAACACTACCTTTTAATTCAACAAACTAGAAAACCAGAAGAAAAAGTAACTCTTTATTTGAATCAGTAAAATGGTAGCTAATATTTATAAATGAATAAATATTTAGTTATTATTATTCATAATCGTCATAATCATAAAAGTGCACAATAATCTCTTTGTAATGTCATTAGAGGGCGTCTAAATGGAGTTTGCTAAAAGAGATTACGGTAAGAATTAAAAATATAAATTCTACTTACATTGTTTGACATCATGATGGTTAATAGAGCTTTATTGTGAGAATTAAAGCTACATTTAGCGTAGTAGCTTGAAATAAAACTAGAATGGCATGAAAAACTGAAAATATAGTTAAGAATATAACCAAGTATAGAAAACAAGTCATGATATTATGCAGTCCCCATACATTTTTATTGTAAGGTTATCTTGGAGTGAAAGCACACATACGTCTTATGATAGATATTTACTAAGAAGTAAATGAAATGGTACATTGGCTAGCATGCCCACAATGCACCAGGAAACCAACTGTTCACACAGTAGTATAAATCTGAGTACAGTATTAGGTTCCTGTGACTGGTTCCCACATGCACTTGCAAATAGAATCTAAGACAAGAAACTCAGGAGAGACAGCTTTGAATTCAAAATTCGGAAATGTTATCTGGCACAAAAATATTTAAAACATTAAAATATTGAAAATGACACAGTCCCAGTTAAATTTTTTAAAGTTCTCTTTGTGCTCGTCATATTAAAGCAGAGGGGTTGTCGCGAGTGTATCCTTGAAATCTGAGTCCCAGGTGGCGTATATAACAGATTGTTTATTTACATCAAAACACATGTTCAGTGTAGTAGTAATATGGTCAAAAATAAAAACAGCCGTTATTCTGCCATCTTTGATCTGATTATGAAACAAACTGACATGTATGATGTATGTGCCAAATACGAATGAAAATGGTACATAAATTGTGGAAATATAGTAGTAAGGCCAAAAAGTCAGATGGCTGTCAATCGGCCATTTATCAGATTTTGAAACAAATTGTCATGTATCCTAACATGTATAAAGTATGTGCCAAATTTGAATGAAAACTGACAGAGCACGTCCAAGATACCGCATATAAAAAACAAAACAAGATGCCTGCAAGTCGGCCATCTTTGATCTAATTGAGAAAGAAATGGTCATGTATCATAACAAGTATAATATATGTACCAAGTTTGAATGAATACTGACAAAGCATGTTTCAAAAAACAAGATGGCTGCCAGTCAGCCATTTTGAATCGAATCACTAAACCACTGTATGTGCATATGTTTCACATAAAGTACTAGGCACATGCAAAGAATGAACGGAATCGGTCCAAGGGATTCTGAGATATGACTCCGGATGGACGCACAGACCGCCGGACGGAGACCGAATTATAAGTCCCCGTTTTCGGACTTATTAAAAAAATGAGGCAGTTCAATCTCAGACAAATCTTTGGTAATGTACAAGGTTTGAATAAAATCTGTCCATGGAGGCCCAAGATCATTTAAACACAACAATGGCTCTCAGTCGGCCATCTTGAATTAGGTTGTGTACATGTATAATTTACATGGTCAGTTGAATGTAATCAGTAAAATCATGTTAGAGATACAAAATGGTCGCCAGTCGTTACCAAGGCATGTCGATCGCTGTGAGAAAGTTAAAAAGGATACATACATAAATGATGGCGAGCAGAAGATGTGGAACAAGACCAAAATGATGTCTTTTTTTATGTCTTGGCTCTGTGGCAGTCCAAAATAAGGAATCTAAAATATCTTGACCAAATGAAGAAAATAATCTATCCGCAACCTGAAGAAATAAAAATTAACTCTATGAGTCAGGAGGTCATAAGTTTACTGAAGTACGGTACGTGAAAAAGGGAGTTACAGCGACTTTCATAAAAATTACTCTTTGCTAACCTTTTGAACACTATGTTCCTACAGCAAAAATGTGTATTTTGGGCCAAATGGACATAATTTCCTATTGGCTAAAGATCTTAATCAAAATTATGAAAAAAATTTTTGATATTATTTTACAAGTATTGACAAGGGTTTACTATTGTGCTCAAATCGTTAACCTAGGATGTACCATACCTGTATCTGTGTGATAATAAAATAACAAAATAATTCAACAAAACCTTGTTATATTACATGGGGTTTTATATACCTTTAATAAATGAAGTTTCATTCAAATCCAAATAAGACACTGGATTGTCGAGGTAGGCTTCTCCCTCCATTCTGCTGATGTGTACTCACGCATCAATTAAATATGCGTTTCTTACAATGTGTAATTGCCGTTTGAGTTCCAATACTGAGATTTACATTATAAATAATTTATAACATACATGGTATTGTCACCTTTATTTTCACCTGAAGTTTATTCTCACTTAAGGGGTAAATTAGCAAAAATAATTTCAAGCTTAAAGAGGCAGTGGTGGTCCCACAGTGAATGTTCAAATTCACACACGTTGTATACATTGCTATGGGTCCCATAGAAATCATAATGCAGAGCAGCAACAACAACCGCCATTTACCCTTTTCACCACCAGTTCTTTCTTTTCATCACAATTTCACGAAATAGTCCCGTTTACAGTCAACACTTTCCTAAAGAAAATTGGGACAAAAATAGCCAAATGTGTTCAGTGAAAACTGAAAATTGACTCAAATGTTGTCTGCTAGCTGCATAATTAGGGTTCATTTCCAGAAATATTTTTGAATGTAAAAAAAGCGCAGAGAAATTTGGGTGAGAAAAAGTTAAAAAATATATTGTAATCCACGATACTCACCTCTAGCATATTGTATATGATATATAATTTGATAACTGCTTGTCCTCTCACGATATGATATAACATAGAAAAATCTAATAAACACATTAGATAACTACATACTACCATTATAAACATCTTTAATATGTCACAGATCTGGGAAGGTTCTAATATACGCCCTCTAGTGTTGAAAGACAGAAAAGAAATCACACTTGTACAATTTAATATTATAAAAACGATTTATGAAATGTGACAAAACCAAAGTATCAGAATCAATTTTATATCCTATCCTAAAATAAAAAAATTAAATTAATTAATTAACAAATTTAACATTGTTTTCAAAGTCTTACAATAATTATTTTTAAAAGAAATACACAAAATATTATATCCAGACATTGACGTATATAGCCACGTGGTGTGGTTTATTAAAACGTCTTACCCGCTTCGAGCTTGACATGGTCTTGTAAGTAAACCGAACAAAGCTAACAGCACCCTCAGTGGCAAGAATGTAAATACAAAAAGAAAGGCATCCATACAAAGAAAGAATCCATATATCATCAACTGAAAGAAAAGAGATGCATTGTCTAATACTACAAGTAAATTAGGAATGGTCTTCCTCCCCCAAACAAAATTATGCAAATGGTTTTTTGTGATTTTTACGTGTGTGTGACCACTCTCAGTCGTGTTTCACATATTTGATGCGAGACCTTGTAGCTTTTGCTACATTGTTGAATTTAACCAAAGTATATTTCACTAAAATGTTCATGCTGTGTATTTTCGTATGTTTTCATAATAATGATAAGTGCAAAATTGAAGTTGAGCAAAACCAAACGAATCAAAGATAGCTTAGAATGAACTTCTTTGTGAGGAGGCCTATAAAATATGAATTCAAAATTTAAGATTCTCATTTCAAACAAGAAACTTGGCAACTAATTTTTGTCTGCTACTTGAGATGCACAATGCAGATTATAAAAATTAATATGCTCAAATTTCAATCCAAAACTACTGTAAAAGGGGTAATTATTCACTGGGTTTTAATTTAGCTTATTTCGCTGACTGGAAAAATGCGCTAAATTAAAACACAGTGAATATGTAAAATTTAGCATAAAACACATTATCTAAATGACGAAACCGTGAATTTAAAACCCACTGAATATGCCTGAAATGGTAAATCAGTGAAATTTAAACCCAGTGAAAATTAGTCATTTTACAGTATTCAGGTCTTTAGTATTGTTCCCAGGCACTTGTATAGTCTTATGTAAATGCAATAATTAGCTTTTGTGATTTAGATAGAAAATTGGGTAATTATTATGCAAATTAAAAAAATATTGTGCATACATTATAACCCAAGACTAATTAGGTCTGTGTATTGTTCTAAGGCACATATGTACCAAGTTTCATTATAATGTGATTAATTCCTAAAATAAAGCACGAAATCCGAAAAGTAAATTATTATGCAAATTTGGTTATTATTGAGGATGTATTCAAACCCAAAACTAATTAGATCATTGCATCGTCTTAGAGTATTTATGTACTGAGATTCATTGAAATACGGAAAGCTGAAAACAGACTTATTATTATGCAAATCAGGTAGTTAATATGCACATATATTAATGTAAAACTAATAAGGTCTGTGCAATGCCACAGACCATATATGTACCAAGTTTCATTGAAATGTGATTAAAACTTGTGATATCAATGAAAAGACCGAAAAATTATGAAATATTGTCCCAGAACATCTATGTACCAAGTTTCATCAAAATCCAATGAGTGGTTCTTCAGATATCAGTGGAACAGTCATGGAGCAGCTAAAAATGATCATGCAAACTAATCAGGTCTGCACATTGTCCCACAGCATTTATGCACGAAGTTTTATTAAAAACCAACATATGGTTCTTGAAATATCAGTGGAACACATGCATACACATCTTACCATCGTTGTAATGACACACATTAGATTAACATTTAATATAATTATGCATTATGTTTGGATTAAAACACAGCACTATATAGGGTTGCGTTTAATTGGAGTTTAATTAATTAAACTCAATTACAATGCAATTCAAAATACAATTGCATTTTAATTCAAGTTTAATTAAATAAAAGTTGAATATCCTGTGACTTGTATACCATACCTTCCCCCTCTACTAAACCTAAGCTTCGCAAACTTGACATTTAAATATTAATATAAATTATGAAATAAGTGAGGGTCATCATTTGGTAGGTGTAAAGTTAAATGAATATTGTCACAACGTTGACACCACAAAAGCATTTAATAATTAAAATATTATTTATTTTAACTATAGAACTCCTTTGAAATTTAGGTATGCACATGCTTAAATATGGTTTATGTAATATGATATCGACAAATATCTAACACCATGTCGTTTGATGATTACAAACCTTTTCCATTTCCTTGGGGATGTTTAAAAATGCATAAAGTCTTTCTCGTTTTTGGGCATACTTTGCTTCGTCATGTTCAAGAAAGTAACCTCTGGTCAGTTCAGCTGATATATACTTGAAAAGTGGTAGACCTGAAAGATGTACAATAATATGCAGTGAAGTATACAACAGATAAAATAATGGCTACCCAACATTTTTCAAGGAAAACATATAAAAGCCAAAGTAAGCAATCTTTGCATTAATCATGATGGCATTACCAGTAACTGTTTATTATTTAAAAAAAATGTATTTGACAGGAGACAACTCTAGACATCAAATGTCACTATTGTCTGTTGAGTATGACGTTAAGTGCAATTTGCCACAAAAACCAGCAATGCAAATGCAAAACTTCTGTATGGTATGCCCAAAGTCGCATCTGTTAGTGTATGAATTTGAGACAGTGCATTTGGCCTTTAGTCATGCATCCATGTCAGAGCGAGTGATTGTCGACTGTGCACTCAAACATTGCCTTGGATCCTGTACAGTAAAATCAGGTGGATCCGCAGCAAAAGAGATAACACTGCTTTGGACCAAACAGATGAACCAGATACAAATTAAAAATGACCAGAAACTTTAATTATACCTGTTAAAACTTAATTTAAATTAAATTCTCATGCATGGGGTATGAAAAATAGGTTATTGCTGATGTATGCATATGTATTGAGTGAATTCTTTTTTAGACGTCCATCCTATTTTACTATAGCAGGATTTATGGTGGTGTTTGAGTGAGCAGCCGACAACCAAATGTATTACAATACAAATGTACCACCCAGTCTGACAATTCTGTGTTGGATCATGGAACTACCAACCGTTTGTAGTTCCATGGTTGAATCCATATTCGAACACCTGGCCATGTTTTTAGATTTCCTGGACGGGGGATTATGAATCCATCTGTCTGCAATAACGTGCATATCGGTACTAATATTGTTATCGCTGTCACGTGCTGACTGGAAACCCAAATAAATGGTATTATTTATTATTAATTTTTACAAATTTGTTATCGTTATTTCTAAAATTAATAATGATTAGTACAAGTCGACTTAGTTAGCTTTTCACCACTTAAATAACTGTATGCAAACATACACATTATGTATACAGACCTTCTTCATGGGGTGTGTACATGTGTATATGTGCTTGTGCAATGCTGTGCTGTGAAGTGGTCCGCCGCGAACAAAGTTTACTCACTTGGATTATTTTTGTTTGAGCTCTCTTCCGTCTTTCCAGGCTCGGGTACTTCCTCTGGCCCGTCTGCACTCGGAATATTCGCCTGCAGCTGCTCCATCTGGAAATTTGTTGTTTGTTTTCGATGAACACATTTATTTCCTTCAAACACGTCATCCGCCATGATGTTAAAATAAACACCAAGTTAGGGGGTCACCATAGTACAGCTGGTTTTGCGGTCACTTGAGGTCAAACTTTACTGTGACAAAGATCCGTGTTGTTTGGCTTGTTTGCAGGATAATAACGCCCTGATTATGTTTTATGAAAACTGTCCTCAAAATAGCGAAGTTTTGCATAATTGTTAGTTTTTCAAATGATAAGTGTCTACTACATAACACTACTTATCATTAACGTCACTACTTATTTATTGGTAGGATTTGAATTTATTTTTGCGTTTATTATTCTGTAATTGATGTTGGTATCTTTAAATACTTACGGCGTATAAATTCATAACGATATATATTTTTCATTGTTGACTAACACCAGTGAAATAATAAAAGAAATAGTAATATAAATAGTAATATAAATAGTAATAGTAATATAAATAGTAATATAAATAGTAATATAAATAGTAATATAAATAGTAATAGTAATATAAATAGTAATATAAATAGTAATAGTAATATAAATAGTAATAGAAATAGTAATAGAAATAGTAATAGAAATAGAAATAGCAATAGTAACGATTGTCTTAAGAACTAAGAACTAAAACGGTAACAAAACATGGCTGAAATGTTTACTGCTAAAACAGGATTGTGTACCTGTATATATATAGTATTCACGGTTAGAAACCTTTTGTGAGCATGTGCGACATTTGTGTTGATAAACATTGATTTTCCCACAATCCAATGCGCTCTTCCAATGAATTCATGAGTACGAGTTTTGACCTGGGCGCGACTTGCACTAATTATCGCCGATGACTAATTCGATACCTTCAAATCACATAACAAAATGAACTGATTAAAGCTTGGAAACCTCTAAGTTTATATTTGTTGCGCAACAGTCAAAGCCACCATCTTTCTTTATACTAGTATGAGACCCATATCTCGCGCATGCGTGGCGCGACGACACCCGCCCTTTAACAAAATTATGCAAGTCAGCAAAATCCGTCGGTGCTCACCAGGTGATAAGCACAATTTCGCTTCAAAACAGAGAGGTCCACAAGAATACTAATTATAAATGAAAAACAATAAGGAAATAATAAGAAGTCCCAGTGTGTATTGAATTACTCTGGATAATGTTCATCTTTTATTTTGAATACGCCCTATATGTGTACTTATTAGTTGTTTATTATTACTACCCATGATGCACCTGAATTTGCCAGTATCAATGATCGTCTGGAATTCACTATCATGTAAGAATATCGAGTATAATTGATTCCGTTCATTCATGTATAGTTGACACTTAGTTGTGATATGTATCTCATTCTCAATGACATCACATTTGGCAAGTTCATTTTTCTGCCGTTTGTGTCTGCATGCTTGAGCAGACATCCTGGAATTTTCACCGCCTGGCAACCATGACGGTGAACTTGAAAAAAAGGCTGAAAACTCTCAGAAAACTGTATTTTGGAATAGTGGTTGTGCAGCATACATAAATTTAGTTGCCCGGGATTAAATCAAAATTGAGTTTGTGCTGTTTCTGCAACGTTAGCGTTTTCACTGGCTGTTCGACCAGCATTTCACAGCAGCTTGCACAGAACCCATAGAATTACATGGTATAGTATGATACATAGTAGATAATATTTGGTAATCGTTGTCCTAAGTAAATATTAAAAATATTATAGTGCCTATTGCTCGCCTATTATTTCAGATACATATTTCAGATACAACTGTTGAATCAGTTCTTCCTAGAGGGTCGGCAAGGGGTATTTTCGTAAGCTGTAAACAAATGTTTTTATTTTCGTAATAATGTAATTTAAATAAATAAGCATGTGATCAGCTATTTTATACGTCCGTAATTTGTAAAAACATCTTATTTTTTGTAAGCGTATAAAGTATTTTGATTCATAAACACAAATTATCAAATATATTATAAAAATGTAAAATGTAATTAGGAATTTGCTTTATTTGTAAAGTGTAAAAAACTATTTTTACTGTAAATATAACTTTCATTTTATTTCCTGTAAAAACGTAAAATGCCTTGTTTTATATCCTATAACCTGTACCAGCTACCCCTCTTGCCCCTTTCATGGTAATGTTTTTCAACAATTTCAAGCTGTGTTTCGTAAAATTCGATTTCACAGATAATAATCAGTAAATCATCTACATGTCTGCAAAACGTAGATAATATTTTCCGTGACTCACAAACTTTTGCTGTCCCAAATTTTGATTACCAAATATTGCTCACCACTTATCGCACCTATTCAACGTAATAGTTAGTCTGGCCATAGAGCTGAAAATAGTATTTTAGCTCAATGGCAGATCTCTTTTAGCCACTGGGTCTGTCGATGAGGGCGCAGTAACTGTCGGTGCACTAAAGATTCCACTGGGTGGGACGTTTTCAAAACCACGACTGTAATCACTATATGAAATTTGCATGACAAAATTTTACCAATTTCAAGACCCTTTCGATGAATGACAAATTTATACTTTTTAATTAGTTACGAAAATATCAGCGTGAATATTGCACTTGGGGACGGAAAGTACTATTACTATTACTATCACTATCACTATTACTATTAATCCTATTTCCTATTCCGCAGATTATTTTCTGATCATACTAAACAATTACATACAACCTCGAGTAGAAAAATATATCTTGATAGTAAATATTTTATATATTTTTGTCAAAGGACAAAAAAAAGTTAAATGGAATTTACATAACTATTCACTAGCTGTTTCTGAAGCAGTGGCCCCCCGATTTTGATTGCCTACGTTTGCTTGTTATTTTTTGAGTTTTGGCAAGATTCTTTTGGTCCATGTACGTATTTTTTGTAGCAACTTTTTTTCCCAGTGTCGTCCTTCCTCGTAGAAACACGTTTACTCGAAAAAACATGCGTCTGGTATCAACTGTACCCACAGTCACTCATATTACATGTAATCCAGATGACCTACCCCGCCCACTGTCTGAAAGCAGTAAATAAACAGTTCTTCATCCTGGGAATGTATTCGCAAGCTTAGGGAGTTACACTCACCATGGCGACTCTTTCGCTTGCCTTACGCATGCGTACAGAGTGTGTCTATGAACATTTGCTTCATTCAGTCGCTACAGTCACTATGCTGTTTCCATGCTGAAATTACTGATATTTTACCTCTATAGTTTCAGTTGTCACCAAAATGTGTTACTAGTGTTTCGTGCGACGAAGAAAGTGTAAGTGTTTATTACGTTTATCCTTATCTTTTTGAAGTGTCTGCATTTCGGATCAGCTCAGTAATTCAATAGCTCGAACTCAAACCGTGCTCGAGAATCAAAACAACAATCACTAACACGTCAATGTCCGCAATACAATTATATCAATTATTATAAAGGATTTACAAACATCGATCTATTCACACCAAGCTTCAGTTGTTATCTCGGCACACGCCCATTGACCGTTTCAATTGCTCTGTTTGGACCATGTGAACTGCGTTACGAACTTGACTCTGCTGCGAGCTCTGCTGTTCAGTGTGTACACGCAGTAACAGGCTGCAAAGACCGGCCTAGCCTTGTTTTAAATTAGCCACACACTCCTGAATTCAAATGAGTGAAAGATACTAAAGTTGAAGAGATTTTGAATTTATTATTTTTTTATTTTTACAAAAAGGACATGCACTTGCGTTGAGAATAGTGACAGTGGCATTCATTTTTTATTGAGTTTTATTTGTTCATTTTATTTGTTTTATTTCAATTTATATCTATATCTCATTGCAGGCCGTAACAATCTAACAATGGAACACAAATTACAAGAAAGACCTAAGCTTACTTCAGAGCCTCTACCGTCGGTCACTGCCAGTGTCACGAGTCTAATAAGCCATGAGAATAGTTTGCATATAGACAACGAAGAAGGTTACACAACTGAAGAATTCAATGAGAAAATTGAGACTCTTCTGCTTGAGAGGATTCGGGGAGGTGACAAACTAGCTATTTTTCAGTTGGGACAATATTTTTTTGAGCAGGTAAAATGCAATAACCTTATATGTGTGTAGACATGCATTTGCTAAATAAATGCTTACAAGTTTTGTATATTGGTATGAATCTCTATTATTATGAATTTCAATTTTTATTCATACATGTATTATCAATTTTGCAGGTTTGAAAATGTGCGCATATTGAACTAGCCTAAAAGTGGTTTTAGATTAAGGGAGAGAGCAATATATTGCTACTAAGGTTTTCACTGCAGTTGTTAGTGAACTTTGTCTAGCCATTAACCTGCCTCATTGGCTCGTTACATTGGTACTGTTATTGTCATGGACCCTTAGCATAGTTCCTGTCATTGCTTGACACACCAGCTGCAGGCTATTTGCAAACCTTACAGTTTAGACTGTGACAAAACAGATGGGGTAGACAGTTTTCAGAGTCAACAGCATAGTTACCATATCCTTATGTTTCCAGAGTTCTCCACTTACCATTGGAAGTTGAGAAATTTAAGACTGGTTCACAGACATTGATTGCAGAGTTGACAGCATTGTTATCTCATGTTATATTTGTTTCTAAGATTCTGTACTGTGTAATCACAACACAGACTTGGATATGTATTTTATGAATTAATACACACAAATTTATATACCTGGGTTATGTATCTATTATAAATTTCTGTTGAGTGGTTTATTCATTTCTTGCTACCAATTAGTCACACATTAGTAAGAACTTCATGACATCTGATCAGCCAGACATGTTTCATTAATTATTCATGTGATGTAAGTAAAATCCTATTTATGGAAATAGGTCAGAAGTAATATCTCTCTGTATTTTTCTGTTTGACACTTTTTTGTCTTAACATTTTTGGAATGATATTGCTTAAAAATTTGGTCAACATTTTTATGTAAAACAGAAAGGAATAGGACTATTTACAATCATGGTTGAAGGGTTAAGATTTGCAAATTGCCTATTCTGAACATACAGAACAGAACTACTTTGTTGAAAATGAAAGTTGACAATGGTAGTGAATGGGATTATGATATGCAAAGTACCTAATTATTATGCACAGACAGGACATGTAACTATTTTGTGGATAGTTACAATACTAGTAGTTGACAATGATGAGGAAATGGTACTGTGAAATACTTTATTTTAGCTGGAATTAATTTTCGCTGAAAAGACTTTTTGGGTGTTTTGTATGGATTTTATTTTCACTGATTTTTGACAAGTTGAATGTAAAATATAGGAAAAAAAGTGTATTCGCTGGATTTTATTTTCACTCATTCCTTCAGCGAAAATAGCGAAAATTAATTCCAAGGGAAAATAAAGTATTTTACAGTATATGACAAAATTCATGCTTCTGCTTAATTCAAGCAATTTAATATTCTTGTATTTCTTATTAGGAGAATTACAGTGCTTCTTTAAAACAGTTTGATAGAATTAAAGATGAAGATTTCCAGGCCTTGTACCAGCTTGGTGTTATGTACTATGATGGACTAGGAACAACAGAAAACTATGTAAGTCATCAACAAGGTGGTAAGAAAATAAAGGATAAAATTATTTTGGATTCATTTCAATTTGGTTTACACATATATTGTGTAAAAAAAATAATTCATCTATAATATAGCACAAATCATTGGTTTTAAATTTTGATTGATCGTTTTAACTTTCTTTTCAAAACTTGAATCTGAAACTGAACTCTTGCTTATAATTGGTTATTACTGTTTCAGAAACTTGGAGTTGAGTATATGAAAAACATTGCTACTTCTCAGAGCAAACGAGCCAAACATCTACGGCATGCGGCCCAGTACAATGTTGGCAGGGCATGTATGGAAGGATTCGGTGTTAAACAGTCATACGAGGAAGCAGAGAAATGGTGGTTGTTAGCAGCTGATGACGGCAATCCACAGGCCAGTATCAAAGCACAAACTTCGCTTGGCATGTTCTATTCCAGAGATGAAACTAAAGATTTAAAAAAAGTAAGTAACAAATTTATCAAAAAAATATACTGTAAAAGCATTACTTTTTACTGGTATATTTAATTTCACTATTACTGTGATTTTACATGTTTACAAGGATTAATTTTATGGATTTGAAGCATCAGCAAAAAAAGCATTCAATATCTCTATTATGGTATCTGTTCAATTTAACATGACTTTCAAATAGGGGGTTTACAAAGATGCAGCGAAAAAAATTAATTAACTTAGATAAGCACAACATTCACTATTTTTGTTCTTTATTTGAAATATTGTATTAGCGGTGCATTCTATTCTATTCTATTCTATTCTATTCTATTTTTCTTTGAACTAGTGCCGATTTTCTGTGTGTACTTGAAGATAGAATACATTTATGTTTCTCAATGGCTATATTTGACTGTCAACGCCTAACCATAAACTGTTTGTATCAATGTACAGGCATTTTTCTGGCACTCTGAAGCGACAGGCAATGGCAGCTTGGAATCACAAGGAGCACTAGGGGTCATGTATGAAACAGGACAGGGATGTATACAGGACTCAGACTCTGCTTTTCAGTGCTTGAAAGAAGCCTCAGAGCGAGGTAACGTCTATGCCATGGGTAACCTGGTGTCGCATTATTATAGAAGGAAACTGTATACTAAAGCAGCAGAGACAGCAGCCAGGTAATATTTTGAGTATAAATACTAGTAATAATGGTATCTGATTTCAAATTGAGTTCTACTTGTTAACGCAGTGTAACTTACAGTATTGTTACAATATATTCACACATACACATAGCATACCGGTATTACATAAGATATATTCTAACTAAAGAAAACATGTCTTGACTAGTATTACCAGAACAAGTAATTATTCCGCTTCGTTTCCAATTACTCAATGTTAAAAGAAACTGACACCAGCGAGTTTGGAGATCACTCAGTGCATTGAAAAGCCTATACTGTATTTATCACAGCTTGAGTTTTCAAATTATACTCTCTTCTGAATTTAATTAAGACTACTTTCTGAGAACAGTCATGGGATGAAATTATACTGAACTCTGTGTTTGTTTTTCTAATTTTCATGAACAGAGTGTCCTTACTGAATGATGTTGCAAAGATAGCTAAGGAAACTGATTGTCTACCGATATTTATTGCCAAGGGAATTGCATTGGGATGTTTTTTTTATGCTAGATGTCTACATCAAGGTTTAGGTGTTGTCAAAAACAAAGTGGAAGCTCAAAAGTTCTATTCCAAAGTGAGTACAGGAATTTATATACTGGTATATGAAAGTTTTAAGTTTTCTAGTTACAGTACTAGTACCAGTATGTTACGGTACTGGGAAGCCAGTGTTAATTTTGTTGTGGAAATAACAGGTAATGTTATGAATAGTTTGCTGGTGTTCACACACTCATTACGGATACCCCATATCTGTTACAGACACTAAAATGTTAATACAAGTTGAGTTTTTGGTGTAGGAGTCAAATTTGTTTGATCACGGCCATTATATTGTGTTGTTTTTTGTATTTGATATGATTGAGTTTTAACAGTTTAATTATTGGTGTAATCTCTGGGTTCATAATGGTTTGCTTCCTAGCATCAATCATTGATCTAAAAGCACGATAGCAACATCAGCCAGCTCTACGAACCTGAGCTGGCAAAGATGTTTTTGAACCAAAATCCTAACTTGTGATTAGAACCTAAAAAGCTATACATGTATCAAGTTATATTCGTTTGGTCCCAAATTAATGTTATACTAGTATTTAATGTACATCTTTACCAACATTTTGGTTGGAAAAGAATGTGGTGGCAGAAGAAGTTGAATGGGTGTGGTTTCTAGTGCATACTGCACTGTTCATATAATTAACCTTGTTGTTGCATTATTAGCACACTATTAAAAT